GCTTCATTCTTGTCTCTATATATACTATCTAACTAGGGGCTATGTGGCGACGTTCTATAGGACCTTCAATATGTGTTGACTTTGTAGGACACATGCCTTGACTTACAAGACAAGTTTTTCTATGTGTGGGCCACATAATTAGCTTGATCTTCAAGCTAACAACATGTGTGGCACATGGCCAACTTATTGACCACGTTTCTAATCCAAAAAGTCAATTAAATCTATGAAGTCAAAGCAACGTCTATGAAGCTTCTAGAAAGCTTCTATATTAAATACTATAGAATTAATTTACTTTTATCTACTTTTACTTACTTCCACCTATTTGTATATGTAATTACTAGCTTACATGAGTATATCCATGATACATACCAAGAAGAAGACAAGTTCCACCTCCTCCTATAGAAGTGAATAATAATGAAGAGTTTGAAGTAGAAGAAGTCTTAGATTCACAGCGATGCCGAAATAAATTAAAATGTCTTGTCCATTGGCACACATATGATATTAGTGTACGCACATGGGAGCCAGTATAGAATCTTATAAATACAGCAAATGTAGTGGAGACTTTTCATTGACGACATCCATCAAAATCAAGATGAAAACCTTCTTTATAAAAGAAATAAGATCTAGGCAAGATAACATTCTACTTTCAATCCTTGTTTGTAGCTTCTTTGTAGTTGTGACGCTGAGGAGATGGAGAACCAACAACCAACGGATTCGACTTAAGAGCCTTCATTTGTTGACTTACTAGATGAGATATTACGACTGTCACAACCTTCAAGATGACGCAATCAAGATGAAGATCTTCAAGAACGACATGTTCTTCCTCGAATAGATGGAGAGATACAATGCGTTTGGTATCACGACCTTAGAAGGGACTTCCGATGTTTGGTGATTTTACTAGAGGTAGGAACAACTCTTGATGGTGTTTCAAATATTTTATTCAAAAGAAGTTATGAAGGCCTCAACAATGATCAAATAACTGGATAGTCTTCCCGCCTTGGTATGGGACACTACTGATGGTTGAGAGGTCCTATCAATCATCTTCGAAGAGAACAAAGATCAAAGTATGTGGCGAATAGAATTCATTGCATCATAGATTTCTTCAACATATGATATCCACTCTTTGTGGAACTCGTCCCTAGAAGACGAGGTAATGTCATAGACATACACATGTAAGCCAGTAATTACATGTATAAATAGGTAGAAATAAATAAAAGTAAATAAAAGTAAGTTAATTCTATAATATTTAATATGGAAGCTTCTTAGAAGCTTTATAGATATTGCTTTGACTTTATAGGTGTCTTTAATTGACTTTTTGGGATTAGAAACGTGGTCAACAAGTTGGCCATGTGCCACACATGTTGTTAGCTTGAAGACCAAGCTAACTATGTGGCCCACAAGTAGAAAAACTTGCCTTGTAAGTCAAAGCATGTGTCTTACAAAGTCAACACATATTGGAGGTCTTATAGAACGTCGCTACATAGCTCCTAGTAAGATAGTATATATAGAGACAAGAGTGAAGCCTTCTTCACTCTTGTCAACTCTTTTCTTGCTTCTAGTCTAGTTTCAAGGGTCTCTAGTTTTCTTGGCTTTTGGCAATAGATATTCCAATTTCTTTCTTATTATACATATGAAGCTATTTCTATTTTGTCATCTTTCTTCGAAAGAAGTCTCACTTGTTTATTTTTTTTTATCATGTCCTTGTCCTTGACATAGACTTTCTTTGGCTTAGATAGAATCTTGCTATATATTATATTTCTAAAAATAGAAGTTTTGAGAGATTTATTGAAATCTTGTATCTTTGTAGTTTTGTTTTCACTCTCCATTCTACATGTTCTACAACTTTGCACCACACTCCACAATTCTATTCCACATAGTTCAAAGTTTAGATCCTAATGTCATTCTAACTAAAGAGTTAAATACTAATATAGTATATAAATGATATAAATCCATTGATTACCATATATAACAATTGACATTATAATAACTTCTATGATTGCCATTACTTGTCTTATAAAATTTAAACCAAAATGAACTACTATAATTTATATAAATAAGTATTTTTGCATACAACATAAATTGATAGAAAATTTAGTAAGAATAATCACTAAAGAAAAGAGTAATTTTTTTTATTATTTCTTATTATAATTAATAAAATAAAATGATAATGGTAAAAATAAAAATAAAAATAAAAAATATACACACATAAAAGATTGCTCATTTTATAAGTATAAAATAAGATACTGAGATGCACTGATCATTGTCTTTTTTTATTCTATAGTCATTGATCAAATTTTATACCTCTAATCATAAGTCATGTACTTTAGATCTATCTCTAATTACTAATTATATCTTATTCACAACCTACTATGTTAGTCACATTAACTATTATTCATGATCAGTTCTTATACCTCGGAGATAGTTTATCACTGATTAGAACTAGCAAATGACTTGCTCCAATAGCCACTTCTTTTAATTACTTTTCACTAATTATTCTTTTTAAAATGATCTATAGTCATTAGTTTAGAGACCTCAATTTATGCTTGAAATAGGGATCTAGATTTTGAAACTTGGATGTAGATTTGAGAATGTGGATCTAGATATTAGAACTTGAAGGTGAATCTTATTTATCGAGATTATCACATAGAGGCAATGTTGTTGCCAACTACAATCTTTTTATTATTAGATATTTTTATCTCTTTATTTGTATTGCTTCTAATTGCTCTTACTACTATATGTGTAAGATATCCTTCTTATTTCATCACAATATTTCTCTTACTACTATGCATGTCTAACTTTGTTATATATTCATCATTGTATATAAATGTGATTGATCAATATCATCTTATATTGTATAGGCTTTTAGAGCTCAAAATCATAACGTTATTAGTCTTTGTCTCCACATTTGCTTATGTTGCCATAGTCAAAGTTTCTACAAAATATGATCAATATTGATTTCTAATCAAATTGTGTGCAACAAGTTAGTCACAACTAATATTAGATAAATGCTTCATAAAAATATTTGCATGATTGGAATTTGAGGCAAAAAAGTCTATAACTATCTAGTAATTTTAATACTTCAAATCTATAGAGAGCCTAATTAAAACTTACCTTATATTTTAGAAAGCACCACTTAAAAAATAAAGTACATTTCTACATATCAACCATCTTTGAAACTTTGTCATGACATGCTTTATTCATATAAGACAACAACACATAGGAATAGATGCTAGAAAATTTAAATATTGCCAATTGCTTGAGCATGCTTCATTTAGTGCACCCTTCCACCGACAGTGTTGAATACAAAGAAGCCTTGCAGGTTCTTAAAGTTATCTATCAGCTTTCTAATCCAATCTAAGTATAGATCCATGGTCTCCTTCATGATAGTATAGTAACTATAGGCAAAGTTATTTACCACTTCTTACCTTGATCCAAATAAAGCATTGGAACTTCCATGTATATACTCACTTATAGTAAATATTTCAACTTACAATCATCATGCACACAAAAAAATAAAATAAAATAAAATAAAATAAATCTTATTGATGTTTATACATTCCAATAAGTCCATTCATTCATGGATAGACTTTCCTACTAAAAAGATATATTAAGTCAATCCAAATATATTGAGTCAATCCAAAATTATTGAGATTTTTATTCTTAATGGATATTTATAATCCACTTATTTTCATAAGACATTGATGATAGAAATCTCAATAAAGTACAAAAATTCTACAACAAATACAATAAGTCAAGCTACATATATATAGATATATATATATATATATATATATATATATTATGAAAGTATATTAATCTATAATGAGAGAAGCAAAACATGCAAATCCTTCTTCTAAAGAATCAACTTAATAAAGATGAATCTTTGTAAGATTTTAGAATACTTAAACACTATGGAACTTGAATGGAAAGTCAAAAAACTCCAAGACCTCCTTCCAAGACTTAAAACTTAAGTCTCAAGCTTGTAGTAGCTCTATGCCCTACAACATATTCTAACATAGATCACTACATTTTGATATTGACGAAAACATTGTTAAAAAAATAAATTATATATACTTATATGTAAAGAAGGAGAGAAAATATTTAAATAAAAATAGATAAAAATATGCTTGAAACAAGCTATTGTTTAAAAAAATTGAGAATATTAAAGCAAAGAAGAAAACTATTTAAACTTCTATATACATTAAAAATAAGTTTTAAATATTAAATATAAAAAATTATTAATGCTACATCTTCAATTGATATTATTATATTCCATGTAACTTCCATACATCTCAAATGGACTAAACAACAAATTTCTATATTTAGAATATATTTATATTAAATTCCAATATTTAATCATAATATTCAATTCCAATATTGAATATTTTATAAAAAAATATGTAACAAAATATTATTCTTCAAATTTTATTCCTTCTAATTAAAACTTTATTACTCCCTAATATTATCTCTTGATTCAAACTTTATCATCCCTTAATATAAAATCAAAGAAGAAAGAGAGTTGAATCAAGCAAAGTAATTTTTGATATTTGACCCACCTCTCTTTTGATATTTCAATTTCAAAATCACTCACCTCACAAGGTGGGTGATATGATGAAATATCACCATAAAGCCCATGCATACATCCCAAATGAAATATCACCATAAAGACCATGTTTGAAACCCCTATGTTATATAATTGAAGAAAAACGTTTCGGAACATATAAAGTCAACAAGGCTATTTTTACTGTTCTTATTCTTAGTGTTATTTCTTCAAATTGCATTAAAAATTACCGCAAAGAAGTTCAACGTGTAAAGAATGAAGTTCCTTCGTATCTGGATTGGGTTAAGAGTTGAATTGACTGCATTGTGAGCATTATTCCAAGCCCACAAAAGAATACACCGAACGTCTCAAAAGAAGATATTTACCTCCTCAATCCAACGTGGTACTTATGCAACAGTTGACAAAAACCACATCATACCACAACCTGGATGACAGCTCATTAAATTCAATGCTCAAACTGTGGATTGCAGGCATGTCCTACAAATGGGTTCCAATCCTTAACAGGGAAAAATACTCACCATGATATACCTTCACACAAACCTTCACTGCTCTGAACAATATTTATGAAGAAAAGTAATAAATAAATAGATAAGTGAATGTTTGAATAACTGGGATACCAACAAAGTTTCTTTTTCTTCTGCTGCTGCTTCTTCGTCGTCAACATCAAAAGCATGATCACATGTGTCTCCTCTAGCATGCTGCAATTTCTAGATCTTCACTGCTTCAACTTCCTGGTGATCTCGGCGGTGAGCTTCCCCTGGTGGAATGCTTGTTCCAGTTCCAGCTTCGTGGGCTGTCTAGTGCCGTCTCCCGCAAGAGTGCCTGCTCCGTATGGTGAGCCGCCCTTCACCTCATTCATCTCGAACATTCCTGCACCGAACGTGTACCCGATAGGGACGTAGATCATGCCGTGATGCGTGAGCTGTGTGATGGCTGTCAACCTGGAATGTGCACCAAATGGTGTAGTCAGTCGGTAGTCAACTATTCTGTGAAGCATGATCTAGGTTGGAATGACAGCAACGGGGACTTGCAAGCGAGAGAGAGAGAGCTGATCAGAATGAGGATACTTACGCAGTGGTCTCCTGGCCGCCTCCCTGAGAACCAGTGCTGAAGAAGATCCCCGCAGGCTTTCCAGCCAGTGATTGTGTCCTCCACAATCCACCGGTAGCATCTAGAAACGCCTTGAATTGGGCGGCCATCATACCAAATCGAGTGGGAAAGCCGAACAGGAACCCATCGGCATCAGGGAGTTGAGCTGGGCTGATGGGAGGCACGTCGGACTTGGCTGGCGCACCCATCTTTCCCAAAACCTCTGCTGGCAAAGTCTCCGGCACCTGCAATTCTCAATGTATCCAACTTCTCAGTAAATCCAAAAACATCTTTCAGTCAGATACCCTCGCCCCAATAAAAGAAAAGAAAAGATATAAAGCACCAATTGTCTCCAAGGTCTGCACAGCCCTGAAAGGCACATCACAATTCACATATCCTGACGGTGCCACTCTCTCTCAAGGTCGTCTATAATCTAAAGGTACCGATATCAGCACGAGTTTTAAAGAACGAGAGCATCACCATCAAAAACTTACTTGATACAAAGTCACTTCGACACCCTCAACACTCTCGGCCCCCCGTTTGATTTCTTTCGCAAGTGTTTCGATGTGACCATACATGGAATAGTACCTGCGGCACCATTGGGATACGATTACATCACACACCGCAACAGAACTCACGGACGCCTTAATCATCACCCAAACATGTTCCAACAATGCAGTGTAATAGATACACTGCGCTTTCTGTCTCAGCTGGCACAAGCCGAAACATTAGAAGAAAAAAAGGCTATCCACCCTATCTCTGCCCTGTAGCAGACGCTTCCAATCACACTCTTATCTTCAACACCATTCATTGACAAACCTCTGGTTGAAATCTAACCTCTAGCCAACAAGCTTAACTCTGAACAACCAAACCATCTCACAGACACACATTGACTGCCAAATTCCGCCACGTCCAGTTCCCAAATCCACAGCATCCGTCTCAAAACAAAAAGAAACCAAGGCCTCCACGACCAAATAACTGTCACTTCCCCCACCGTTTATACACCTCCACATCACATCTCGCACCGCACACAACCCATATCCATCCATGTCTGGAACACCAAAATTTACTACGGAAAATAAATAAATCACAACTATATACAAAACCCTCACTCACTCTCTCTCTCGCTCGCTCTCTCTCTCTCTCTCTCTCTCTCTCGCTCTCTCTCTCTCTCGCGCACACATACACACACTCACTCACTCACTCAGAACACAGTCAGGTGACAGCAACTTACACAATGTACACCTTGGTGGCCATGGTTGGTGGCTGGCTTGAGGAATGTAGCAAACAGAAAATGAATGCGCTCCGCGTCAATGGGAGACAATCGAGCTGCAGAAAGCAAAGCTAGGATGCAAGATCAGGAAGAATTGGAACACTATATGTACAAAGGGGGAAAATCCAATATCCCCAGTACTTTATCAATAATTCATTGAATAGGGTTATCAGTGCGTAGCAGACTGGGTAGTGGGGTAGGGAAACTGCTAGCGAAGTATCACATAGGGATTTGTGTTTTTTTTATTCCTCGTTACGTGAGTTCGTGGTGGGTCTTTTGCATTAAATTTAGGGTCTCCGTGGGAGAAAGTTTGCGAGTTCTCGGGCTCCTGATTTGGATGGTAGTACATATTATATTGTGCCCACCTGCGCGTTGAGACTTATAGGAAGTGATGACCTGAGCCTGACGCATTCATCAGTGCCAGATCACACGGTATCGGCCGCAGTTCGAATCTCTACTTCTACAATGATGATGCAATCTTGTGGACTGCTCAATCCGTGATTTGTTGGATTGAGTATTATCGGCCAGATACTGCGGAGTCAAGTGCATGTGTACAAATAAGTTCGATACTTCCAAATGTAAGGGTAATCTGTTTCTTACAACAACTTAGTGTTATTTGTGAATGATTCTTCTTCATTAATGTAGCTTACATAACCTTCTTTTGTGTTTTATAAGGTTTTTAATAGTGATTTTGATATTTTTTTTTTTTTTTTAATTCTGTTATTGACATCAATGTTCAATGAAGTTTATTTGTATTTCTTGTTGTGAAACAATATAAAAAGTTAAGCTTTAATCTTGTTTTGGATTCTCAGACAGTTATTGATTTTTCACAATTGTAAAATATTTCTAAAATTAGATATTGAACTTTAAAAATGTGATTTTTAGAAGAAAAATATAAGAAATAATTATTTGAATAGACTAAATATGAGTTATTAAAACCATTTATTTCTTTTTTGGCTAGTGTCTCTCTCTCTCTCTCTCTCTCTCTACATATATATATATATATATATTTATATATCTATTTTTATAGAGGTAAGTAAATAATTTATGTACAATATAATATCAAGTGAATCAAAAGTAGGAGTTAATTAATATACAACTTTTGATAATAAGTGTTTCAATCAAGATGTTCAAAATAAAAATTATAAGTGAAAAGACTTCTAATATCAAAGCCACATATCTAAATATATTACAAAGCATAGATACTACAAAGGATGAACAAAGGTCAAAATAAAAAGGTATTTTTAAAATAAGAAGGGATTGAAATAATTATTGCCAAACACTAAAAATTTAAGTGTTTTAAAATATGATAAACCTAAATATAATTGTAGATTCAACTTTCACATTGCAATTTCTTTTGAAGAAATTAATATGATTTTTTACCAATCTAGCATATTTTTATTTATTTTTATTTAGTAATAATTTATTCTAATTATTTAATGAATATGGATATAATACTATTTAAATTTTTGTATTGAAGATATTAACTTTAAGGTATAAATTTTATAAAAATTTATCTTAATTATGGTTACTAATAATAATTTTACTTAAAAACTAGCTAATATATAACACTACATTATATATATATATATATATATATATATGTATGTGTGTGTGTGTGTGTATGCATATTTGATATTTTTATGGATTTATTAGTAAAGAATATAAAACATAAAAATCTTAATAAAATTATAATTTAAATTTCAAATTTGATTTTATAAGAAATTATAAAAATAAATTTTAATACTTAAAGGAAGGAGATTCTTTTATCAAAACATATAATTAGTAAATGACTCATTATCCCAGTCAACAACAACATGATAAAAAGTCACCTATTCCAGCAACAAATCTAATATACATGAATTTTCATTCAACCTTAGTCATGTATCTAATCTCCAATAACAATTTTTATTTTTTTTCAGTGGATCCCAGTAAAATATCCAATTGAAAAAAAATGAATTTAAATTAAAAATAGGTCATCACATTGATATGCAAAAAGAATTGCTATCAAATACTTAAATTTTCAAATATGTAAATATAACTTGTTTCTAAAATAAATCAATAGCTTCTATTATAGAAACACTATTCAAAATACAAGCAATAATTCAAGATCTCATATACTATTTATTTTTAATAATTGTAGAAAAAATATTATTGCCACACCAACAACAGCAAGCAGTTTGACACATGCTATAATTAAGTTAACATATTGATGATTAATCCTGATATTTGAAAATCCACACTTCTTTTTATTTTTTATTTTTTTTCAGAACAAATATTTTTGTTATATACAATTGTTTTAAATTAAAATAATGAAAAATATAGGTAATGACATCATTGACACCATTCTAATTGTTATCATGATTTCTTATACCATGATATATTTATAATCATATTGTTGTAAGTAGATTAGATTTTTAATTATATAATTTTATTCTTAAATCTTAAAAAATTTAATTAATTATTCATTTGTTTTTTTATTTCAATACAATATTAAATTTTCTTTTATATAAATATTATAAACAATTTGAATTTGAAGTTTATATTTTTTTAAGAAATCACTTGGAGGACACCTTTTGTTATTAGCTAAACATCTTTATACTATACATCCTACATACATATTTTACAAAAAATAATTGGTTTTGATTTTAAATTATTTTTATTATTATTTGAAATTTATAAATAATAATATTAATAAATTATGATATTTTATTATTATTATAAAAAATAGAAAAAATAGAAAAAAATATTGATTTATAAAATACATGCCTAAAAAAGTTATGATTTAAAATATAGTCCTTATAATGGAAATGTGGAGTTGTCACAAATATGCACATTTACATTAGACATTATCTAGATTAGAGGATTTAGGTAGAAATAAATTAAAGTAATTAAATTCAATAATAACTTATGGAAAAACTTTTTAGAAGCTTCATAGATGCATATTTGACTTTCTAAGTATTGGTAAGTGATTAATAAGTTGAAAATTTGGCCAACAAATTGGCCACATATTATACATGTTGGTTACTTATTGTACAAGTTGGCTATGTGGTGCATATATTGGAAACTTGTCTTGCAAGTTAGACACATGTTTTGGAAGTTGGACATGTATTAGATGACATATAGAAGATTGCTACATAGTTTCTTAGTTAGATAATATATATAGAGGCAAGAATAAGGCCTTCCTCTTTCTTGTCAATACCTTTCTTATTTTCAGCCTTACTTCAAGAACCTATAGTCTTCTTATATTTATATCACAAACATAACCAACACTAATAATTACCGAAATAAGAAGACTTAAGTAGAAGTAAATAAAAGTATGTAAATAATATAATATCTCATAGAAAACTCTATAGATGTGAATTTGAATTTATACATGTTTATAGGTGATTTGTAGATTGAAAACTTGGCCATCAGTTTGGCCACATGTTGTACATGTTAGCCACTTGTGGTAGAAATTGGCCAAATGCCATACCTATAAGAAAATAATTATGGATGATGTATTTTATAGAAGAGAGAATAGATTTGAACATATTATAAATCTTTAGGACCTTAACAACATTCTTTGGATAAAAATTTCATATATAAAAAATATCAACTATTGAAGTATTATTCTTATGTATATAAGGTTGTATAAAAAGACTTCAACCTATATGTATAAGAATAATACTTCAATAGTTGTATAAAAATAATACTTCAATATGTAGAAAAAATACCAACTATTAAAATATTATTCTTATGCACATAGTGTTGTATAAAAAGACTTCAACCCATATGTATAAGAATAATACTTTAATATGTATAAAAAAATCAACTATTGAAGTATTATTCTTATGCATATAGGTTGTCAAAAAAGACAATATGTCAAAACATAAGTTTGTCCACGTGCAATGAGGATTGTGCCATTAGAATCTTAAGTAACATTTAGTGGAAGTCTTATTATCTTCTCAAAGCCTTCACCTTGTTTTATAATAGATATATTTTTAGGATCTAAAAATTAAAGTCTTTGCCTTATTAGATTCAAGAGCCTTAGATTGTTTTTCAAATGAAGACTTTATTTAAAAATATAAAATATTCTTATTAATAAAAACTAAGCATTTGCATGTAAAAGTCTTAGATGGTTGTCTTTTATTTTTTAAAAAAATTATCCATAAAATTATTCTTATAGATATAGCTAAAATTAATCATAATAGCTTTATTATATTTAATATAATTTTTTTAATGTAGTAATTTTAAATATAATATATTTTAAAAAAGGTAATATATTTAAATATATTAAATTTCTTATAATCTTTATTTTTTCTATAGTACAATCAAGAATTTTTCTAACCAAAAGAAAAAAAAATATTAGTTTAGCACAATCAAATCCTTACTTATATTTGTAAGAGCTTTTATATAGAATACAAAACAAAGATTGCCTTTTTTTTATTTATGCTATATCTATTTTTTAAGATGAAAATACTTCAAGAAATATTTTAAGCCATTGTAAAGATTATTAAAATATTTTTGAAAAAGAATATAGATATTCTTTCAAAGCATTATTTTCATGATTGTTGAATTGATTTTTGAAGAATTTAACCTCCATTTAGTCTAATTTATAATTAATTATTAAATAATTTAGCTTCATTCAAAAAATATATTGATGAGAATTTGGCCAAGAACTTCATATACCATTCAAAAGCTTCAACATAAGTATCTATCTTATTTGTAAAGAAAAATATATATTATTATAAATAGGTGTAAATTATCAAGAATTCAACAAGATTACTATTAAGAATAAATATTTATTACTATTGATATTAGGACTTTATTAGCAATTAAATCAAGTAAAGATCAATACTAAAATAGATCTTCAAAAATAATTATAATCTTGTATACATCAAAAAAAAAAGATGAATAGAAGACTATATTTTGAATCAAATATGGACATTTTGAATATAATGTCATATCTTCTAAATTCACAAATATACAAGTTACTTTTTAATATCTAATCAATAATGTGTTTAAGATTTTTTTTAGATGATTTTGTGATTTATTATCTAGATAATACTTTTATCTATTCAAAGAATAAAAAAAAGTATGAACTTTACATTTAACATGTGAAAAAAACTTAATGATACAAGATTATATGCTAAGATAAAGAAGTATGGATTTTATATAATTTAGTTGACTT